GATGGTGGGTTACCAGCAACCGGACAAAGGCGCCGTCCTTGGGAAGCAGTAACGGGTGTCGAGACCCGTACGGCAGTTGGGAATTTCTCAAACCTCCACCAACGCGCAGCATCCCAGCGTCGTCCAGAAAGAGGTTCAGACGGGCCAGAGCAACCATGACAACGGAGCCACGCTTCAAGTTTTCAATCACGGGCTCAAAATGCTCCGCTTGGACCATACGGGTCCAATGCATCAGAGCTTCACGACGCTCGCTAGGGGACAAAACGAAATCAGAGATTCGGTTGGACGGATCTCTCGTATTGCGGACAAATCGGCGCAACCCAGCAGTCACTCCTAAGAGTTTATCGAGAGAGCTGTACCGTTCCAGAAGAGAGAGATTCCGAGTGGGCTTATCCTTGCCCACTCCTACTCGGGCTCATAGGCCAGGCAATTCAATCGGTTCGGAGTAATTACCCTGGGGCCAGAATGACTGAGACTCAGATAACCAACCGGGACCCCACCACAGCGGGTGGTCAACCAACGAGGGGGCCTCACAGCCGCGAGATGCGCAGTCTGCGGGATTCAACTCCCCTGGGACATGTCTCCAGTTTAGAGATGTCTCAGAACTCTGGATTTGAGACACGCGGTTCGCCACAAAGACCTCAAGATTATGAGGTGCAGCTCTGAGCCAATAAAGTACTATCTCACTGTCCGACCACGCGTAGACGTCCGTAATATCGATTACAGGCTTCAAGAACGAGTGAACGTAGTTGAGGAGTCGCGTGAGAAGAGCGGCTCCGAACAGTTCCAATTTAGGGATAGTTAAGCGGGACCTAATGGGAGCAACCTTGCTTTTAGCAAGTACGAGATGGACTGCAGTATGACCAGAAGAACTCACATTCCGCAAATATACGACAAATATAAGCCTTTCTCAGAGGCGTCGCAAAACCCATGTAGGGTAGCGCCCTGCATTTCCCTGGAGGGAGGAAGCACCTTGACCAGGGCGCAGTGGTCGGCAGGCGAGCGCCGAGTGTCGCCCGACAGGGGGCGTGGCTGAGCGCCCCCGCCCATGGGAGTCGGGGGGCCGGCAGGGCCCCGAGAGGACGCGCCGTTCGCACCCAGGCACAACACAGCATGGTGGTTGCCCTGGCAGTGCGGATAGGGCCGCTGGTGCGGGCAGTCTCGTTGGAGATGCCTTTCCAAGCACGAGTAGCACCAGCGGCACTCCCTGGCGATGGTTCGCCTCTCCTGGACCGGGTTACCCAGGAACTTAGGGCACGACATCGCACGGTGATCGGATGCTCGACAATAGGAGCAGGGGGCGCTTCCCTGGCCGCTAGGCCACTATAAGAGGGTAGGGGATGGCGCCCTCCCGCGGGAGCTCCACTCGGCCTCAGGGGGGTTGGCGACGCCTTGGCCGTCGAATTCCGCGTCTCCCTAGGCACCGCTCGGGTGACAACCTGGGGTTCCTCGACGGCGCCTGCTGCGTTCTCCATCTGTCTGCACTGCTCCTCCAAGAATCGCAGCAGGTCCCTGAAGGGAGGAATATAGGAGGCGCCGTCCCCGCCGTACCTCTCCTCGAAGTGGAGCCGAAGGTCGAGAAGCAGGCGAGACAGCACAATGTGGAGCAATAGAAAAGACCATTCGTCCACCGGTAAATCCAGCCACCTCAATGAGTTGCAAGCCACCACGATTGGATTCACGATGTCCGTGCGTAGTCTGGTCCGATCCTTCAGCAGCGGGAGGTTTAGCAACTTCCGCACGTAGTCGTCCGCAATCCAGCGGACGTTGGCGTACCTTCCGGCTAGGATGTCTCGAGCATTCTGGTGGGCGTCGTCCGACAATTTCAGGTGACCGACGACGCCCAGGGCCTCCCCTCCAATGAGGCTAGGAGGTACCCCATTTTCTGGCTGGGCGTCAAGTCACTCCGGGCGTCCACCAGGCTGTCAAAGAGACCGACGAACGTCAGCCATTCGGAGAGTACCCCGGAGAACCTTGGCAGTCAAACCAAAGTCGGGAGTCGTCCTAACAGCTCCGGCTGAGTAGGCTGCTTCCGAGGAGACTCGGACAGGCACCTCAGTCTAGCTTCACGCGCTTCCTCCGCGTCCTTGGCCCCCGCCTCGATCAAATCGTCCGTGAGCGGAAAAAAATTCTCGTAGTCCGCGAGGTAGGAGTCTAGGATTTCCTGTTGCGCATCCGAGGCCAAAAGCTCTGTACAAGCCTCCTCCACTACAGCCCTTCGGGCATTGACCTGCTCGAGCCGCTTCCCTAAACTATGAACCCGATCAGGTCGACCTATCAAAATATGGGCGTTCGCGCCCCAACGCAGCTCCGGCTGCAGGCGGAGCGCCGGTTGCTTGTGCGACGGCATCACTAATAAATACAAACTAATGCACAAAACACAAAAAAAAACACAAATCAATTTAATAAATAGCAAATACAATTACTATCAAATCGAGTTAAATACAAATTACTACAAATACGACTTACTATTTATTAAATTAAATACAAGTTACACTACAATTAATCAGCAAAATGCCTCGCTCAAACAGCCGACCCTTCGACAATTAATCTACTATAATTACACGCCAACTATAATTATCCAACTACGTGTGATAGCCTTATCTACCTAGTCAAGTACCTAGCCTTAACAAACTACGGTAAGTACCTAGCCAAGAACAAAAAAAAATATTTATATGTATATTAATATTACGGCCGTGGCGTGATTGGAATTCACTCAGCCACGCTCCTGCTACCAGCTTGTACACGCCCCTAACTGTCCCGACAAAGTACGATCCCACAGGGGCCCAGATCTGTAGGCTCGTTGAACAATTAAGGACGGGCCGAATGGCCTGGTGGAATGTTCTATTCTACTAAGCTTTAAAAGGAAGGCTAGCCGAATAGAGAGTATTTAACTAATACGGTACTTACCTGCTTCGGGAGCGGAGACTGGTGACCTGGATCTGTCAGGCTGAAGGTGTAGTGCATGTGAGTGGTGTGTGAGTGTCTGTGTGTAGGTGGCCTGAACCAGATGGCACGATGCTTCCCCGGAGGCAGTATTCTCCTGCGGCGTCCCCGGTGGCAATTTCCCTCTTCAAGGCACTAGGTCAGTCTATTCACATTCAACTAGCTTCACAAAAAGGAACTGAATCCGTTGATAACAGTCAAGAACTAACACGTGGCGCGTCCGACGACAGTGGGACAAAGTTCACCTCCGTTCGCGACGTGGCAAATATAACAGAAAAAACAAAAACGTCCGCTAAGATCGACCGATTTTTTAATGAATTGCCTCGACGTGTCCCGTCGACACCGCTCGAATGGAATGTCAGCGCGGGGGGGGGGGGGGGGATGCGACCTCGATACGATGCTAGGCTATTAACGTGCGTTAATAATACAACTTCAAATGGTTAATATTTTACCTAAACAGCTGGTATATTTTACTACCACTATTCAGCGGATCTTGTAATAATATCATTCACTTTTTGAAGTTCACAACGATTATACGTATGTAAACATTACTAACCCTAAGTTATTATTATTACAGTCTATTGGGTTGGTACCATTAACAATATAGCATTAAATATATTAAAAGGCAGTCAATCCTTTTGATAAATAATTAAACAACTTTTTATAAATAATTAAACACAGCAATTTGAAGCTCTGTAACAGATCAGTGAGATTGAGATTAAACGATAGAAGGATGTAATATCTATTTATTCGAAAATCGATAATACATTTTTATCCATCAGTATATTTAAACACCGACAGTGCACCGATGGTAAGGGAATCCTGTGGCACATATACACCTAGATATATCCTCGATTAAGAATTAAAATGCAGATGCGTTGTCACTCTTGAGAATTAAGAAGAAGTGTCTCGTTAGATGTCAAACTATCTCCTGTTCTCATCAACGCAGCACTACGCAGATGTTTCATGCTGGTGTTCTGTGCAAATGAGGTTCTTTCATAGTGCAAGTGACTCATTCTGGCTGCTGCTAATTACGCTGCAACGTGACTCTACTACGTACAAAAAATGTATACGATCCGATTTAATACCAATGAACTGATGTTTGAAGTCAAACTTAATGTAATAAAGCCATGAGATTTTTCTGGCATTTCCCGTGATCGCCTCTACTCTAAAATAATGAAAGGATTTCATGCGAGCGAAGTCGCAGACGTAGCTAGCTAGTTTTGTAATAAAAGCCTTATTGTTACTAAGTATTATTTCTTGTGTTAGACGGGTCTGTGTGGCAATGGGACGAGACATGACACTAACTAATCAAACCTGTTTATTAAACATAACTGTAACTTGCAAAACACGACTTATTACTTTCTAAATGTTATTATTCATATTAAGTATATGAAATGATATATACACAAAATTTAAATATTTTAATCGATTTCACGCGATGTGAACGTGCATATCTGATGATAAGAAGATGCTGTGGCCTATACACATATTTATCCTCCATTAAGAATCAAAATGAAGATGAAATGTCTTGTTACTAGTTAATAAAAAGAGTCCTAGGTTTTGAAAGATAACAACACGAAACACAACATGTTTTTTTTTTATAGGATAAGGTGACAAACGAGCACACAGTCCACCTGATGGTAAGTGGTTGCTGTGACCCATAGACATCCACACCTATCCTCAATAAAGAATCAAAATGCAGATGCGTTGTCACCCGTGAGGACTAAGATGGAATGCTTCTTTTCCAGTAAAAATGGTCGCAGGTTCTCTACACTCACCATACGAAACACAGCAGTGTTAAGCCGCTTTTTTAAGCTGGTATTCTGTGAGAGCGTGGTCCTTCCCCGGTCCAGCCGACCCATTCGTGCTACAATTATACTATTAATATAGCTGCAGCATGGCTCTACTACGTACAAAATTTTAATCTTCCTCTGCCGAAATTAAGTAAAATTGATATTTTTGAAATTTCTAATACAAACTCATAAATATTGATTAAATTTATTATTCGGTTTTGAATGTAATGTTTATTAACGATAAATAAAAAATCATAGGTTCTCCGTGGAAGGTCGAGGTGATGGCGGGGCCGGCGAGCGGGGGCGGAGGCGAGCCTACAAGGCTCATTCCCGCGCGAGTGCCGGCCGTCTTTGAGATATCCACCTCGCCGGGAGCGCCCACGTTTAACAAGAATGAGGTAAGAAATAGCCCGTTTTCATGAATACAGAGTGCTTTTCGATATTTCGCAACGCCGCAAGATTCATTGCCATATGGTTATTTTTTACATAATTCAGATTTGTTTACGTCATAAATACTTTAAATTTTATAATATATTTTCTTCTTTACGGGAATACTAGCAACGATATTAACTTTCCTATCATTCTCTTTGATCTTTGCAACTATTCTGAAAATGCTCGTCTTTACGTAGCATTTTACGTCACAAGTTGCTGCTCACTACTACACCATTTTCAGTTACCGAAGTCGTGGCGGATCTGTCATTAGACCTTCAATTATACAATTTAAAAACCAATCATCAGCCTACGGTCAACATTTACAGCTTCATTTAAAACGTACAAATTTATTTCATAAACTAAGTAGATATATCAAATTCGTAATTGTTACGGTTTCTTTTTCCTTTTAAGTAATCATAGAAACAGGTTAATGGCATTCGTCACGAAAAGTAGTGAGCCTAGACTTACAGGCTTGGCTAAACAAAGAACCCCCCCCCCCCCCCATAGATTGTCTCATAGGGGCGATATTTGATAAACTAAACATAAATTCGATATACAAGATGGCAATTCTTTTTTCTGCAAACTTCAAGTAAATTTTTCGACCTTCTTTCTTGATCCCTCAGAATTGAAAGGATCCATAAATGTCATTTAATGTCTATCAAACAATTTGTCCGTGCGACTTTAGACGACATTTGAAATCATAAAAAAACATCCCGAGAAAATGTTTCCGACTCCGATCAATTATTCAATGAAACACGATATTTCAATTTAGCACTTAAAATGTGGAGGGAACATAGATTAATCTATGGGAGGGAAATTTGAAATAAAAATATTCGTATTTTTTCTTGTCAGCTTATTCTTAAAATAAACAAGTCGTATTTTTAAAATAAATTTCATCTGGCCAAGGTTTCATAGCAAAAACTTTTTCGAAAATCTTTCTACGTGGCTTGTCGTATGTATATTCTCTGCCAAGCTTAATGGTAGACTGTGATAAAATACCTTTAGGCATTGATATCGTCATATATCATCATCATCATCATCGTCATCATCATTACAGCCCTTCACAAGTCCACTGCTAAACATAGGCCTCCCCCAAAGAATGCCACAAAGCACGGTCCCAAGCCACCTGCATCCATTGACTTTCTGCATGTCTTACCAGGTCGTCACTCCATCTAGTGGGGGGACGCCCTACACTTCGCCTGCCGGTACGAGGCTGCCACTCGAGAACCTTTCTTCTCCATTGTCGTTGCGGTTGTCAGTTCTTCGAGCTATATGGCCGGCCCATTGCCTATATACGGCTATGCCGGTTACTCTGGTTACGTGGTTACTTGGTCTATATCACGCAGAGAAACGCCGAGCATAGCCCTCTCCATAGTTCGCTGAGCGACTTTGAGCTTCCTCATACGGCCAGCAGTGAAGGACCACGGCTCAGATCCATAGGTCATCACTGGCAACACGCACTGGTTGTACAATCTAGTTTTGAGGTATGTCTGACGAGAAATGTGTCGTAATCTCCCGAACGCTGCCCAGCCGAGTGGAATATGTCGATCGACGTCACTTGTCATATATGTATGAAATAAATATGATTATTTCCTTCCGGTAACCATTTTCCGATAGCATTTTCTTGTATAACCCTTATATACATTTAATCTTTAAATGTTTAGTGGCACACCTACACCTAGTTATTTTTAACTAAATAAACATCATCAATACTGGCACCAGCAGATGTGTTATTAGCAATAGTCACTCTATAGTAAACTTAAAATACTTTTTCAATGTAGCAGTAATAAAATGGCACTAATAAATATCAATATTTTAACAATATTAAAATAAGACTGCGCAATATTTTATTCAGTATATACTGTACCCAGTAGTCTCAAAAAGTAGATAGTTATACTTTTACTTCACTCATTATAAAAGGTTGCCTAATGCTATTGTAATTAATGCAGTCATTGTCAAATTAAATGTTAATATTTAAATTGCAACAGATATTTACTAATCCTTATGGACAGTGACCGTAAACTGTGACGTTTAAGTGGGAGTCTTATTATATATCCATGATTTATCCTCGTACGGACGCTAAAAGCGTAAGCATTTTTGCTTTTTCCGTACGCACTGCCAATTTAAGATTTATTCAATATCGCCCTCCTTCTCCACCTACTCGCTTCCCTACATACATCTATACAATACTCAAACGTAATTTTCCAAATACAATAACTTTGCTATCTTTCCAGAGCAAGGAATATTTAATGACTAGCGATCCGCCCCGGCTTCGCACGGTTGATTTCTGGTTCTCGACAACAATGCCACCTAACGGGTCCAATTGTTAATCTAAACTATTTCTCTAATCAGCCATTCCAGCCAGTCCAGCCGTTTAGTTGGAGTTCAGTCACATACACACGTACAGAAGAATTATATAATATACAATATGCATAGTTTATACATATAAATTTTTCTCTTAAATCGTCTATTGATGAAAATTGCATATAAATGCGTTGCGTAGTTTAAAAGATATAAGCGTACAGACGGTGGGAAGCGACTTTGTTTTATACTATGTAGAGATAGAGAAGATATTATATTTGTAACATTTTTCCTGTCAGGTAACGAAAATATCACTCATCCATTATAGCTAGGATTATAAATATTCAAATGATAGATGATGACAACTTGAGTGAGGAAAATATACATACATAACTGCCGAATATTACATTTTCTTTTTCCCGTCCCTCGCATTCAGGATAATGTTATAAATTGTTGTAATAATAATATAAATGAAATAAAACAATATAAAGTTATTGGTATTGTTATGTTTAAAAACTCTTATTATTCCATTATCATGGACAACTTACCACAATAATTTGAACTTGTGGTTTCTTTACAATGAGTTAAGTACACTAAATTGGAACCAAACAACCTATCATCATTGTTCTATATGAAGGGCAATACAAAAGTGTCGTTACCTCACAACTTAAATCACAGAAGACTTATCCATCGCACAATTATTCAAAAGTAGCAGAAATGAGGATGACTGCAGAACGAATGGGTCGGCTTGACCGGGGATGGACCACGCTCTGGACGCAGGCACGAGAATGCCAACGTGAAGTAGCAGTAATACTGCTGTGTTCGTATTGTAACTGCAATAAAACGGAGACCCTTTTTACTGGAAACGAGGCATTCTATTTTGGTCCTCAAGGGTGCATTTTGATTCTTAAGCGATGATAGATGTTTATTGATAGAATGTTAGTAGTAGACTTACCATCATGTGGACTGGGTTCTCGTTTGTCACCTTTACTGCTATAAAATAAAATATACTTTGTTTTTCTAAGAGTTTTGATAGCGAATAACTAAGATTCGCCAGCAAAGTATGCAGGAGAAAACGCAAAAGTTTTCAGGGGTATTAAGATATTTTTCTATGAGGATTTTTATTTAGATATAAACTTTTAGTACATACCTAGTATACCTATATATTTAAATGTCTTTGAGAGCATAAAAAGAACAATAATTAACATATTTTGGTCACAGTAGCAGCTAGGATTCGCGACCAGGATTCTCCTCTCATTTTTGAGAATATTTTTTGGAGCACGATTTCCACGCTGCCCCTAAGCGTATTGGCAGATTTCACATTTTCTAGATTATTTCTTAATTTCTTAGACATCAACGTTTCTTTAACACTTTCACTGTCCGATTTTCAGACACATTATTTCTAAACACAATAATTCTAAATGTTTCTAACTGTTTCTTAATATTTTCATAATAATTGTATAAAATATTATAATGTAAACTGTGTTTTTAAAAAAAAAAGTCCCGCTGTGTTTCTTGCTGGTTCTTCCCAGGACAGAGGTTTTTTTTGCGAACCAGTGGTAAAAGTAAAAAAACCGGCCAAATGCGAGTCGGACTCGCGCACCGAGGGTTGCGAACAAATCCGTAGTTATATAAGTTTAAAATTATTAAATACTAGCTGTGCCCGCGGCGTAGCTCGCGTATATAGGTTTTACTTAAAGAATTTGACGTTTAGGTAAGAGAATATTAAAAGATTTATATCATTACTGTATGAATAAGTGGCACCAAAATAAATCGTTATGCTCAAAGTTCTGAGTCGTTTGTGATAGAACTTCTGTGTAAACGACGTTAGAAGTAGACAGCCGGGGCGTACAGAAAAATGTTATGGGAGCTACTAACGCGGGAAAAAGCAACATAGAGTTGGCCATGTGCAAAACAGTCAGTACTGAGGTCCACTCCTGCAACGCGTAAAGTTTGACCTTGCGCTTTATTTACGGTCATCGGTCATCGCATAACACACGCTGACTGGGAATGGGAAGTGGGAACAGAACACGCTTAGAACTGAAAGGAAAGTTATTTGATATAAGGTGGATTCTTGGTATAAAACAACATCATGACATATTGTTTTTGATGCAATTTTGCTACGTTTAGCTTGGGCGTACGTATCTTTTTTCTCATATCTGTTTTTGATGATGTTTGTGCTGTTAGCTTACACCCTACACGGCTCTTTCAGCTTGAATGGACTCGTTAACGTACAACGCCATCTATTACGTTCTTCGTGGAAGACATCCTTTTTTAATTTAAGGAAAACATATTTTTTGTTTACTGTGTTTAAAGTATAAATATATTATAATAAAACGTCTTTTTATAAAAAGGAATCATTTTATTACTACTCGTATTTCTGAGGTTTTATGGCGCCTTTAAACAAATCGAACCTACATTTCAAAATAATAATCAAAACTTTCGATAGAATTAACCAATTTTAATAAAACAAAGTTAATCTTTGAACTGGATGATACGCTTTATGATTTTCTAAACAATTTCTTTGAAAAAAAGATGTTTACTTAAGACGTGATGCGTTCATAAACAAACAGACAGACAGACAATTCTAAAAATTATAAAAATGTACTTATTTAATGAGTTTCAGTCCCCATAATGATTTTAGTCACAAATTAATATAGGTACTATACAATGTACAGAATCAGACACAGCATGTGATTACCGCATGTATAGAGATATAAGGATAGATGGCGCTGTTAAAATCAATTCTAAGAATAAAAGAGATTAATTGACGCGATTGATACAATAAAAAAACTTAAAAGAACTTATAAATCAGGCCTACATCGTAAGCAAGAAAGAAAGTTTGATCCTCGCCGAAACCAACGAAATTGTTAATAGCTCTTTTAAAATTTGATTTACCATGTAGAGTAGGTACTCGGCGGTAAAGAATAAATGACATTGTCAATACACAGTAGGGCAGCGAGTAATTTAAGATTAACAGCAAATATGAAAAGTCATTTACAGAAAAAAAACCACAACCTGCCTTTTTGCATGACATTTGTGCAACACCACCATCTATCGATGAAATGGGTTAACTATTGTACTTTAGATTTACATAATAATAAGGTTAATATATTTTTTAATATATTTATTACGTTCTTTATGCAATACTTTTGTTTACTGCGTTTTAGATATAATTTCATCATTATAGAACATTATTTTACATCATTTAATTATGTTATGATTTATAATATTATATTAGTTTAAAATGTACTTGATGACTCAACAAACGCCACCATTGAACAAATTCGTACCTATACTTTGTAGCCATACTTCAGAATATTTATCATAACTTTTGATGGAATGAACTAATTTTAATGAAATAAAGACTAAATGTAACCTGAAGATACACTTTATAAATTCTTTAACGATTCTTCTGATATAAATTGGTACTTTATACGTGATACGTTAACAAACAAACAGACAGACAGACAGACAGACAGACAGAAAATTCTAAAAATGGTAGAAATGTATTTAATTACTTATTTTTAGTACCACTCAATCACTTTTATTAAATAAATCTAAAATGTACAGACATCGGCTATTTACATTTTTATTATATGTATAGATATTTTTATTATATGATGTAACTAAAAATGTATGCTTTTCGCAATTTTTCCTTTATCTGTGCTATAATACGTTGCTTCGTACTGAATTTTTAGATTCTGAGTTCACGGGAAGTACTCCGGTAAGTACTACGGGAAGTAGGTATTGATTCCCTTGCGAATGTCGAAAATTTGCGGCATAACTACTGTATATTTTGATTGCGTTGGCTTAGAAGTTTGATTTTTTCACAGTTCCAAGGGACTCTAGGCTTGAGTATTTGATATGAATTTCAGCTTGATACCTCCACGCGTTCCTAAGAAAAAGGGTCTTGACAGACAGACAGACGGACAACAACGTGATCCGTTTTTTCCTTTTGAGGTACGGAACCCTAAAAATGACTATCAATAAGTATTATGTACTATAATCTATATTGAATAAAATGATTCTATTCTATTCTAATAGTATAACAATAGAAATAAACATACATATAGTTACACGAGACAGCGAAAGGGTTAATATAATATATACCTTAACGTACATAATTAATTATCATTTTTGTTTTGTTTTTATTCTATTTTGTTACACCTACGCCAAATTCTCACCACTCCATGGGTTGACTGGTAGAGAATGCCTCAAGACATTAAGTACGCCCTTTGTATTCTTTTGTTTTAAGGGATGTAATAAAGAATAAATAAATAAATAAATAAATAAGATGCAGAATACAAAGAAGTTTACCATTGCAAAGATGCAAAGTGCAAATAGCAAATAACTATTTCATTGAGGCTGGTGGTACTCGAACTCGTGTTATTCACGTATCATAAAACGTATACATTTAGAAGTCAAATATATTTATTTATGCATATTCACAGGTGGGAGTAACAGTCACGTCTCCGTCAAGAAGACCTGTGACTGCGCGTGTGCTGGACGTAGCCGAAAGACCGGGAGTATACCGTATTGAGTTTACACCAGAAGAGGTCGGAACACATCTAATCGACGTAAGTCACCTAAAACACTTTCTTTATATAATTTTATTGAAGTAATTTAAATGTTATGCTGTATTTATGGTACATATCATAAACAAACAAATAAATAGAGTGATTTTTAAAAGACAAAAATGTCTAAACACCTGAAATATATAATATAAGTATATGAGCGACCACGGTGACAACTTCTAAATATTAGAGAAGCTTTCTCTTATCCGAACCCTTCTTCTTCTCATCATAAAATTCCACTGCTCATGAGCCTCTTTCATTTTAGGGATGATATTTCTTAATAATGGCAATCTCACTAGACGTCTCGGACCTTTGACGTAGCTTGCCGTCATTGGTCCAAGTATTTTACGCCTGGCGCGATCCAGCCATATATTAATTTATTGCATAAATTAATTCCTGTTCTCTTTCACCATCGGTTAACCAGAAGCTTCGCCCACTACCCCATATCGCACCGTGGGTGTGGTAAGTGGCGACAAAGGTAAACATGCCAGGTAATGAGCAGCAGTATATTCCTAATAACATCAAGAAACATAAAAAATGCGGTTGCGAACCTGCTTGCCAAGCGTGGCAACTATAGAAAAATATGAGTCCATCTATGGAGGAGGCCTATGTTCAGCCGTGGACTTTTGATGGGGTGTAAGTATAAATGATGATTCATTCATTTAAAATAAGTTAAAACATAATTTTATTGCTTCCAAATAGGTATTGTATTTATTTGTTTTTACTAGATTCAAACGAGAAGGTTCTATACTAGACGCGTGTGTTTTTAGGTTACGTACAATAAGTAGGTATGTTACATTAACATACTTGTATTTAAAAAAAATACACGCGTCGAATATAGAACCGATTTAGGTACATACACCGATTTATCGGAAGTAGCTGAACCGATTTAAATAATAATTTTTTTTAAGTTGAAGATAATTAATGTAACTATTTAGACGACAGATATCTTTTGAAGTCGGTTTGAACTTCAAATCAAAAGTTTAATTACATCCAATAAGTTTAAACACCTAGGTATTTCAATTATATCTAAAATGAATAATATTGGCGTATTATATAAATGCCATCAAAAACATAACTTGTAAAAAAACCAAGTCTCGCAACTTAGTTCTTCTACCTTTTTAATTAATTCAGTCCGTACTTAAGGGTCCTTCTGTCTCAAGTTATTACATAATTAGCTAACCTAACATTATCTTATTGTGACCATATCAATATTAAAAGTCTATGTTTTAAATAAATAGATTGATTTGGCCATCGCATGAAACAATGTATCTCACAAGTAATACATATTATATTAAGGTCGATTGTTTAGTGTAAAATTCAGGCTTCTACGAGTAGTTTTCTCCACAACAAAGTTATAAGGGGTCGAAAATGGTCTGAACTGCTTCGAGAAAAGGATGGTATGGCCGTGCCGCTTTATTGCTCGACTTGGCGGGGACACTGCCGTGCCCCCAGATACCACAATGATTTATAATTAAAAAAATTAAAATTACTACACGAAATTGTAAATTATGGGGGGCGATTTAATATGCGAAATGTATCTTAAACTTTCGATTACGATACTTTCCACATTCTTAATTTTGATAGTCTAATCTTTCTTTAAATGTTGAATAATCATTTTCAGATTTCAATAGCAGACGACAAGTTAGCCGCGGGGCCGTTAGTCGCCAAAGTGTACGACTCGAGCCTTATCAAAGTAACAGACGTTGCAAACGCCGTAGTTGGACAACAGTCTCAGTTTAGAGGTAAACTTGTCTAATTGCCCCGCTTCTATTTCAACACCTACCCAAGTAAAATTGAGTAAGTTGGATGGAGGACTCGTCGTAACATTACCTACGTTGTAAACTCTCTGAATATACACGAACGAAACTTTCAAGTAAATGAACTAAGTCTATCAATTTAGTTCAAAATAAGGCTTAAATGAATGCAAAGATGATATCTGCTTGGGTCCGTCAGTTATGTTTTGCTTTTGAAAGTGGTCAACGGACCAATTTTTTATATGAGTGACGCAATTATAAGCATAAATAAAGAAGCACTTACTCATCCTGATGGCCTGTCAGTACTCGATGTCCAGCTTCAGCTTGAGATCGGTGGTAGACCAGAATGTTGTGGTTAGGCACAGAAACAGAATATTTACCTTGTATATAGATAGATATATAAGGCATAGGCCTTATATAGATTGCCTCACAGGGGGGATTTTGCCATAGTCGACACGCTTGGCGAGCGGGTTGTCATGTGCAGTTTTTGTATTATTTTGAGATGTTATCAGCAAGATGCTGCTGCCCATCGCCTGTTTCAATTTCCTTCCGTTGCCTCTTACGACACCCACGATACGATATGGGGTAGTGGATATTGGTACACCGCCACTACACGGCATACGAATTATCGAGTGAGATTCTAAACCAGGACCAGCAGTAGGTAGGGATAGGTGTTAGGTAGGTAGGAGTCACTCATTAGAAAATACCACGCGAATTCAAAGTAGGTATACAATCATATATAATCATATCATAAAATACGTTGAAAATTTTGCAACTTAACTAACTTTTTTTACTTTTAATTTGAGTATGTTCTCTTTACCATCACCATCTTCCTCTTCATGCATTGTAGACAAACAAAAGTCATATAATTTTTTTTTCTCATTAATTATTATTCTTCAAAGAAAATATGATTTTTTTGTTTTCAGTGGATGCCAGCGCCGCCGGTGAAGGACAACTAGAAATTTCAATAAACGAGGGTGAAGTCCCCAATCATGTGCAAGTAAGAACGTAATTTCATTTAATTTCACTTGCATAATGGAATAAAACGTTGGTACCTATAATATTACTGATTCTGCACCTAAAACGTCGAGACATCGGCTTTTATGTTCATGCGAATACAAAACTGAAGTAATAAAACCGATCCAAATACTAAAATGTGTAAGACAGGGTGAAATTTTGTCTAAACGACTGGACTGGAAAAAATACGGTGTTAACGTCAATTGTAGGTAGGTAAATACATTCCTTCGACTTGCTGACGTTAAACGAATTTTTTCGTACGACGTTAACCGAAGTTTAGGTAAATGTAGAAACGACGAAGACCATGCGTAAGGTCACACACTTTTGTAAGTAAGGAGCACTATGCTCGAAGTTAAAAATAAACTAGTAGGTAAGAAAGAGTAAAATTTCCGATTAAATAAGTCCAACTTAAATCTGAGGCTCGTTTGGGAAATTGCGACACATCTGGTTAAGGTGTGTAACTTGTAATAAGGTGTAATGATATGAAATTTTATTATATCAATTATAAATCAAAATGTTAATACGTTATCACCCGTGAAGAGTAAGATATCATGCCTCGTAGCCAGCGAAAGAGGTCTCTGGTGATTTACACTCACCATGTAAAACACAGCATGCTGCTATTTTACGCTAGTATTCTGAGAGAGCGTGTTTCTTCCTCGTCTGACCGACCAACGCTAAAATTTATTATGAAGTTTGTTATTTTGCTCCACTTTATTACTAATGGTTTTCCATTTTCTGATCATCAGGTAGTAGGTGGAGGTCGATGCCTCGTCTTCTGGAGGCCGGAAACTCCGACACCTCATCGCGTGGATATCAAATTTAATGGAGAACCGGTACCATCGTCGCCTTTTATCTTTGACGTCGCACCAGCACAAAGAGTTACTATAGATACATCACAAATTGGTAAGTTCATTAAGTTTTAAAAAAGTATCCAAGTCACCATAGTATTTTTCACTAAACACTTTTTACGTTCAAGTGCCGGGAAAGGGTCAGTTCGACCGGGATAGGACCACGCTGCCCCACAATACCAACCGAGACAACAATAATGCAGTGTGGCGTAGGATGAGTGTAGAAAACTGGAAACCCTTTTTACTGTTAACGAGGCATTCTGCTTAGTTCATTCATCTCAGTCCTAAGGGTTGACAACGTATGTGCATTTTGATTCGTACCATCATGTGGACTGAATGTTCACTTGTCACCTTATTATTAATGTCTTTATGCTCTAAGGTATTTTTATTTCGAAATGATGAATATGAATATAATATAATATAATATAATGGATTATGTGATCCATAGAATATTAATGTGAAATATCGGTGTCATTTAATGGTTCTATATCATGTGATGTCTTTAGTTATAGAATAGAATCAGTTTATAAGAATAGAAAAGAATATTTTAATACCGATTGTCTTTTTACTTATATTTTAGTACTAATTTTGTCATTAATACTTGCATAATAATCTTGTGTTATAAAGAAAAATAGCGAGGTTAAGGATAATTTATATTAATTTCTTTAAACTTTATTTATGGGACTGTTAGGTAAAATTTATGTTATAAATTGACCTTATGGCCCTCTCCAAAACTAGTTTCAATGTCAGTCGCGTTTCCCCATAGCAATATTCCATATCATATCATAATTAAAGTAACTTAATTTAGCTGTTTCAACATTGGTGAATGCTAATTTAGATAATTAAATTTATGAGGGTCCACCAGAAGCTTCGCATCAATATTATCAAGAAAAACAGTTACAAAAAATACTTATTCTCTTTTTACTTATATTTTAGTACTAATTTTCCCATTAATACTAATACTGGCATAACAATCTTGTCTTGTCACCTTAAGCCGCGTCTCCACCAAAGTTTTGTTGTCAACAAAACATTTGCTAACAAAACTTGTTTCCATTTTCGGCGGCAACATCAAAGGAATACGCTTGTTGCCAACATTTGTTCCCTCGGTGGAGACGCTTGTTGACAGAAACATTTGTTGGCAACACCTGTCGGCAACTGTTGTGTTGGCAACAATACTTTGGTGGAGACACGGCTTTATTATTAATTTCTTTATGTATAGTAAGTTATTTTTAAAAGTATATATACGTCAAACTCTTTTTTTTTTAACTTATTATAAGCCAGAGCTTGACCACAATCCCACCTGGTGGTAAGTGGTGATGCAGCCTTAGATAGTAAATCGCACTGTCTTATCGTAACAAAAGCCTATTCACTCTTGCCTTGAAGACGCCTAGATTGTATTCGGACGGAAAGATAGACGCCGGCAAATTATTCCACTCCTTTGCTGTACGCATTACAAAAGACGAAGCAAACCGTTTGGTTTTAATGCGTGGAATATCGACAACAAAGGGATGAAGACCCGCAGACCATACCGAGAGACTGGCTACTTTGCGCCTGTGCTCGAGGCTGACAAGATTGGTTTCAACCAAATCAAGGTCACCAATGAGCCTCTTAGCACGTCTCTCCACTGAGTCCAATGCTGCCAGGTGGCATTTTGCAGCACCAGCTTATATGTGACAGCAGTACTCCATGCACGACCGGACTTGCGCTTTATATAAGGTAAGAAGCTGCCCCGGCTTGAAGTACCGCCGCACCCTTGCAAGGACACCAAGTTTCCTCGCGGCTGCTTTGGCTCTAGACTCAATGAACCGCCCTTAGTTTAGATTCGGAGAAAATTCAATCCCTAACAACTGAAGGCGGTCAGTGTACTCCAAGGATACATTCCGGAAAGTAGGAGCCAAGGTGAGCGGGCTCCTTTTAGCGGTAAAAAGACACGCTTGTGTTTTGGAGGCGTTAAATCTCACGAGATTGACATCGCCCCATTTGGAGACTGCCTGTAGTGTGGGACTCACACGCTCAACGATAGCCTCTCTTTCTGACTGGATTTGATCCCGACTGGCCCGGGCGCTTGGTTGGTATCTCTCCACAACTGTGCTGTCGTCTGCACACCCATAGACACCGGGAATGAGCAGATCATTTATATGCAACAGGAAGAGAGTTGCGGAGAGAACGGACCCCTGAGGAACACCGGCGTTAGTCGCCACAGTATCGGATGAGCAGCCATCCACGATGACCCGGAGAGACCGTTCACTCAGAAAGTCCTTCACCCAGACAATTAGGCCAGGGGATAAGCTGTACGCTGTTAGCTTGCCCAATAGACTAGCGTGTCAAACCCTGTCAAAAGCCTTCGAAACATCGAGGGAAACAGCAAGTGCTTCACCACTGTTCTCAAGGGCTTCGCCCCATATGTGAGTGGCATACGCTAGAAGGTCCCCAGTTGATCGATTTCGGCGAAACCCGTACTGGCAATCACTGAGGAGATCATTTTGCTCTAGGTATGCCATGAGGTGGGTGTTCAATATACGCTCCATAATTTTGCAGAGTATGGAGGTAACTGAAATTGGCCGATAGTTGGCAGGGTCGGTACGGCTACCTTTTTTAGGCACAGGCTGGACATTGGCCAGCTTCCAAGATTTAGGCACTATTCCAGTCCTGAATGAGAGGCGGAACAAGCCTGTCAACACAGGAGACAAGTCAGGTGCACAGACCTTTAGAACTATAGCTGGTATACCATCAGATCCACTAGCTTTGTTCACGTCTAGACTTCGCAAGGTTTTAAGAACCTCCTTGTTGGTGATACGGACCTCAGACATAGAGGTACCGCAGTGAGGTAATTGAGATGGTACGCTGTTGCTACTGTCCAGACACGAATTGCAAGCAAAAAGAGAAGCAAATAAGTCCGCTTTCTCCTTAGGTGCATGCGCCAGTGAGCCATCTGGTTTTACCAGCTGAGGCAGTGTAGACCGACAGAAGTTTGTCTCGACTGCTTTGGCGAGAGACTAAAAAGCTCTACTGCCAGATGGTTTGACAGAGAGCTTTGTGCCGATGCGTTTAATGCGGTCGAAACTGGCTTGGCGTAATGCCTTTTTGCACGACTTGGCGGCTTGGTTAAAGGCTCTCTTCTTAAGGCTAACATCCGGAGCTTTACGGTCTCGAGCATAGACCCAGGATAAGTACGCCATATGCTTGTGGTTTTCAACACGAGCGCACTCGGCGTTAAACCAAGGGTGAGCTTCACCACCAATGGGCACGTCAGCAAAGGGGATGAAATCTCACATTGGTTATGGCATCCGTACAGCTCGACGGCTCTACAGAGGAGAAGCAGACCTGCCGCCAAGGATAAGATGCAATGAAATGCCGCATCTCATCCCAATCTGCTGACTTGTATCGCCACATTCGTCGCACTCCGTGGAACTCGTAGTTAGGTGGGGAATATAACGACACAGATTTCACCAGACAATGGTCAGAAGTTCCCAAGGGTGAGGTAACCTGAACATCGTACCTGTCTCGATCGGTCGTCAGCAGAAGGTTGAGGCAGTTGGCTGTGTGCCCTTCCACATCAGGTACCCTAGTCGCTTGTTGTACCAGCTGGGAGAGCCCCAGCGACAAGGCAAAATTCCACGCCTCTCTCCCAGCGTGGTCGGTCTTCTGGTATGGGAACAGCCAGTCCTGATGACAGGCATTAAAGTCCCCCAGAAAAAACAACTGTGCATTAGGGTATCGATTTAGAGCCATATCAGAGGCTTCACTGAGGTGTTCAAACAGCCTAGTTGTCTCCTGGTTGTCGCTGTGCGATCGGTAGACACAAGAATAAATAATTTTATCAATTCCTGTGTCTATCAATACCCAGATCGTAGAGAAAGTGGGGTCTTCAAGGTGACGGAGACGCTTACAGCAGATGTCCTTGCGGACGTAAACACAGACTACTCGCTCTAAAATAGCAATACGAAAGTCAGGTAATTGCCCGACTCGCATTCAGTCGGGCACGCTCTCGTGTCGCGACTATACCTTCGCTACAGGGCGTAAATCTTCTAGTTATTCGTGGCAAAAATGCCTTCCTGTGTTTTAGGTGGTGCACAAATTACACGGCAACTGTTAGAGACTAGAAAAACGTCTCATTAATATTTTGAATATAGATGTTTTGTTCATAATTGGTTTTATTATTTTAACACTAACCGTTAGTGTAAACTTCGATGCTAGCTAGTGTGTTCATTTTCCATATCGGTATGTCAGGCGCTCGCGCCAAAGACCGCTCGACAGCAATCAATACGCAACTAATGATATATATTCATCTTTTTCTAACGATAGGTATGTTCTATCATTTGTCTCTTTTTGTTAGCGCAACGTGTCGTAATAAATAACTGTACGTAGATATAGTACTACCTGCGCCACTTTAAAATGCAATCATGTTAGTGTGTAACCTGTCTATCTTTTTTAATACGTCTTTGATGTATATAAGGTATTTTATTTCGAAATGATGAATATGAATATAATATAATGTAATAGATTATGTGATCCACGGAATATTAATGTGAAATATCGGTATCATTTCATGGTTCTATATCATGTGATGTCTTTAGTTATAGAATAGAATCAGTTTATTAGAATAGAAAAGAATATTTTAATACCGATTGTCTTTTTACTTATATTTTAGTACTAATTTTGTCATTAATACTTGCATAATAATCTTGTGTTATAAAGAAAAATAGCGAGGTTAAGGATAATTTATATTAATTTCTTTAAACTTTATTTATGGGACTGTTAGGTAAAATTTATGTTATAAATTGACCTTATGGCCCTCTCCAAAACTAGTTTCAATGTCAGTCGCGTTTCCCCATAGCAATATTCCATATCATATCATAATTAAAGTAACTTAATTTAGCTGTTTCAACATTGGTGAATGCTAATTTAGATAATTAAATTTATGAGGGTCCACCAGAAGCTTCGCATCAATATTATCAAGAAAAACAGTTACAAAAAATTTTCGTATGTAAACTACAAGTGGAAACACAATTACAAGTGCTACGATAGTGATTTAAATGAGACGATCTATTTCAAGCCAAGTCTATGTACACTATACCGTAAAAAAGGGAAACATTCACGGATTTTATTAACTTCCTTCTGCGTAGCATTGAAAGGAAGTTAATGGTTTTAGCTGGCAGTCTGTTAGTCTGTATGCCGACACGATAACTTCCGTTCCACTGGACCGATTGACTTTAAATTTGGTATGTGGATACCTTGAGGTAGGAGCTCGGTCGAGTTTGAATTTGGGTCCTGTAGGTCAAAGGGCACCAGAGATATGGGATTCACGCAGAAGGAAGTTGTTTTTCTTGAATTTACATTCAACTCGTTAAAAATAAAATAAGAGAATAAATCAAACACTTGCTTAAAAATAAAAAATAAAATCCCAAGTTTTTGATGATTTTACAAGATGACGTTTTTCCAGTCATAAAAAAGACGCGGTTAGTCGTGAAATGTTATTTCTGACAAGTGACTTCAGTAATGAAACAATGTAAGTAGCGTGATATTTTTTATTTATTCAGAGTTTGGTCGTGTAGCTGTGAACTCATGAATGCATTTATTGTTTCTTGTGGATTTCTTTGGCGATTTTTTTTTTATTTGGACTTTGGATCTGCTACTACTTTTTGACTCGGCTTTTCTACCGACTTCGAAAAGGAGGAGGTACTCAATTCGACTGTACGTTCTTTTTTATGTTTGTTACCTCATAACTTTTTCCTAGGTGAACAGATTTCGATTAATCTTTTTCATTTGAAAGCTATTGCTTATCATATGGTCCCAAATAAATTTGATCAAGGTTTGACCAATAGTTTTTGAGTTATCCTTAATAATTTATATTGAAGTCTGTTGTACAAAAATTTTAATTTTAAATTATGTTTTAAGGAATCATAATTTACGTGAGCTGTTGATTTCATTTTGAATCAGTAGGCAGATATGTACTAAAAAACGATGGGTGTTTCCTTATTAACAAAAATAGCTATCAATAAATGGATCAATAACCGCATGACAGTTGACATCTAACGTCAAAACTACATCAATCCGCCATTAGTGTTGCATTTTTTGGTGAGAATAAAATATTAATACCACTGAAATAAAGGCAAATTCGTGGATTTGAATGATCAAAAATGGATTAGTATTTTATTATAATTTATTTCCCTACTAGTACTAAACCGGGCCCACCGAGGGACTTTATCAACTAAGGCAGATTTAAGAACTCTAATCATCAACTGTCCATTGGGTTAAGCTGTTGCCAAAATAAACCAAAAACATCGCAATGTGACGCATCAACATATTGTGAAGAATTTAGTGAATAAAATACACAACAGCAGATAAGGATGTATGGTCTAAAACCTTTGCTTGCCTTTCTGGCCAACAAGCAGTGTTGTCAACTTACTGGGGTTTCCATCAAAACTGGTGGTTTCAAAATATACGATATTTTCAAATCTTATTACAAAATAAAAATATTATTGATTCAGTTCATTTTATCGATATAAAAATTCAATAACATAAAAATTGAACGAGCTTTAAACTTCTTCTTTGTATCTTCTTGTGACTACTGCTGCGCTCAATAACTCTGATAGTGACTAATATTCAAAAAATATTTGTTATTATGGGACTTATGTGGCCAAATTCTACAAAAAAATCATAAATGGCACTATGATATGACTTGTTGACAATGACTTCTTAGCAATGTCCTTTATATTAAGACCATAGAAAATGTTTATCAAAATATGTCAATTGATATTATTTCGAAGTTGTGCCGTTTCATTATGAGTATTACTCCTTAAGTTTAATTTAAATATTGTGCTATTACTATATTCAATCGTATACTCAAGTACCCGGTAAATCGTATATTCTAAGAGCTATGTTTGGATATTGATTTATATGATTAATAGATTAACTTTGTAAATTATTTTGTAATGTAAAATGATCACACAGAGCTTAATAATAATAGGTTTAGGTAAGTCTACGTCGAGTGTGAGTTTATGTAAACCTTGCGCCACATAAAACAGTTCTAAGACATACGTATTACGGCGGGACGTCTTTAGACGTTGCTTAACTCTGTATGGGAAAAAAGTACAAACATTACACCACCGCAGTACAAACATTTAGAGATGAGGTTGCTCACGCGAACGTGTTAATGAAAAAGTAAAATTAACCCTATTTTTGTAATAGAGGGCAAAGTGGACACAATCCGAGCCCCTTTTCTTTAATAAAAAAGAAGTCGTAGTAAAATTTAGTGTCAGATTCTTAAATGTTATACCCTAAATATTAAATTTTGCTTTGACGTTATAATAATATTATTTTTATATTTTTTTACCATCGTTTTATTGAAATTTAGTACGTACTACGTTTTTGAGTTCTTAGCAAAATACGATTTTTTTCAGTTTATGGTAAGATCTCCTAAAAAATAAAGTTAAATGTCTTATACACGGTCCATCTTGACCTACGTCCCGCCAAAGTCATGCATGACGCACGACGTAAAACGACAATCAGTAGACTTGACGTACGTCAAGAGTGACGTACGTCAAGCCTATTTATTGTTGTTTTGCATCGTGCGTCGTGCATCCTTGGCGGAACGTACGTCAAGAGGGACCGTGTATAAGACATTTTTGCAACCCTGGGAGAGCTAGCTTACTTGTTGGCGACACTGCAAACAACAATCAACATTATTAAACCTAAAAATTTTAAGTTTCAATTTAAATTATCAGCTTATTTATGTACAATGTTATGTACAATTTTCTAATTTGTTTATATAACTTAATGTGCCTTTAATTTAATCCTTAGATTACGTATGTATATGATGTTGGTGTGCTTGAATAAAAAATAAATATTAATGTATTATAAGTGTTTCATTAAGTAATATTATTATTCCTGTATAATGCACTTCTGTCGATATCGATAAAATAAGAACACCACTAAACATCGATATCGCTTAGCTTAGAGTATTTTATATGCAAACTATGCTAAAAGAGTACGGATCATTGTATATTTATTACTTTGTTTACTTTGTTGTTGTATCACAAAGATTAAATATGTTTCAGTAAAATGCGTATAAAGTATCATGCAGCAAAATGTTTGCAGATAATATCTTTGATAGAGACTAGGATTTTGATACCAAAAGGACTACTTGACATCTCTCACAGTGAGAATATGAGGAGAAAATGCAAAATTAAAATTTAGTCAGCATATTTCTAAAACACCTCACCAACTTTCATCACAGGGAAAGCAATTTTTTACTTTTTTTTAGTAAAGAAATGACCATTTTTGAAGTTCATCATCATGATGATGAATGATTGAATGAATTACACCATTGTATTTATTGTTTTAACTGTTTAATGTTATGACATGCAGGAAAACGCACAAACCCAATGTAATTACCAATATTGTAGAAATTATTTTTGTAAGATTCCAGTTTCTTCTTTTTTTATTGCTTTTAGGAAGGGTGCCATTGAAGGGGTAAGGTCAACTCCCTTCCACTTGTAACTTCTCCACCCCATTTGCCTAATTCTTTATTATTATTGTTACAGAATTAATACCAGTTGGAGAAGTAGCGTCATGTTCTGTGAGAGTAGAAGGTTCAGGTGGTGGAGAGCTGACAGTAACTGTAAAAGGGCCTCGAGGAGAAGTACCGGTTCGCCTCACCGGTGATGCAGCATCTGGACTCGTAGCCAGCTTTACACCCAAAAATGTTGGCCCGCACACTCTTACAGCACATTATAACAACCAGCCAGTACCTGTAAGTACTAGTTTCAACATAACATTTATTTATATCAGAAAAGGCAATTTAAATAAGGTACCTGAAAGAAATTGAAAGAAGTAATCTATCTATACGGGGTGGCGATAAAGATATCACATTAAATGAAAAGACTTATCCTACATAACATTTTGAACATACACAACTAAATAATATATATAACAATTAACACTCTTGTTGCAATAGCCTTTTTTTTTCGTTTTTTGCCTAATTACCTATGAACGCGAAAGTGTAGGTAAATAATTACATACCTATGTCGATGCCATGTGAGAACCGCGTACCTGCCGCACCGTTGCCGCTTTTACATGTCACTTCAGGTCCGTAAACTAATATTATCAAGTTGATTCATTTTGTGTCCATTTTTACGCTATTTATTTTGTTTGACAGATGCATTTTTAAAGTTGACAAAAAATTACTTTGCGTACATCAGCTCGATAAAATAAAATGATGTGTCTTACCTAGTTTGAAGAGCACCTCCCGCCCTCCCTCAATTGCGTGCACTATCCCAGTCACCACTAATCCCAGCACCACTACTCCCAACACCCCTACACTAGGAAAGACATACCACTGACGACAATACGACACGTGTTTCATCTCTACATGAGGCATCCTCAGGTGATATAGACTACGGTGGCTAACCGCTAAGATGCATTTTTTTATTTTTGATAGAATTGTTTATATTATTGATTATATTATTTTAATTGACATATATGAACTTATATATACCGCTGTGTTATTTAATGTGATAACCTAATTGTCACCCAGTATACTGTTATGCAACTAATAGCAAAATAATTATACTATTTTTTTTTTGTAGGGAACACCTTTTATATGTAAAGCATATGATGGAAAACTGGTGAGTGTGAGTGGTGGTGCATCAGCGCGTGTTGGAGTACCAGTTCAACTTGCGGTAGACGCAGCACAAGCTGGTGAAGGGAACCTTGAGATTACTGTGGCTGCACGGGGATTAAATATCCCAACTCAGGTCCACCCACAGGTAAATAAAATATTTGTTTAATAATTACATACCACATATATCCTCAACAGTTTATACTACAATTTTTGCAAAGTTGTACTTTTGTTGTTTGTTGTAAACTGTTGACTCTCGATAATTTAAAACTCAAGGACTAGAGAAAAATTTCAAACTACCAAGAGTTCAATGAATAACAGAAGTTCAGATAACCTAGAGGGAGGGAGGAAAAAATCAAGTAAACAAGAGTTTGAACAAAATTTGTGATTTATTTTAAAATTTGTACAATTATTCACAAATGTTCATTTTGAAAAGAAGTCTCACTAATTTGTTGAAACAATCGACAGGTCTGTACATGTATGTAAATTGGCAGGCAATATACTATTCGTTCAACTTCAAATTACCAAGGAGACCAATTAATATTGATTTTATTCAATTTATCAAGTATTTTTCAAGGGACCGGGAAAAAATTTCATATTATCTAGAGATACAAATTAATGAGTGTCAAATTATCTATAGTCGACTGTATTTTAAAAAGATTAGAAAATTATACCTTATAAAGAAAATTCTCAACTTATTTCCTTTTTTATTTTACAGGGGAATGCCCGCTTTACAGTCTCATTCACACCAACAGAAGCATGTGAACATATTGTCAATGTTTCCTTTAATAAGGTTAGTTTTAACTTATATAACTTATTTATATTCTTGAAGTTTATACATATATATATTTTTTTAATAATGGATAATGGATATTATATAATTTGTAAATTATTTTTGTATTGTGAGATTAACTGTGTAGTTGTGATGTAAAAATATCCACTACCCCATATCATACCGTGGACTTCGTAAGAGGCAATAGAGGGAAACTGAAACAAGAGGAGCAGCATCTTCCTGAGAACAATTCAACATTTTATAAAAAACTACAGTTGCCAAGTGTGGAAACTATTGCGAAATCCCCTCTGTGAGGCAAACTACGCAGGAGGCCTATGTTCAGCAGTAGAATTCTTTAGGCTTTAATGGATGGACGAATTGATTGTAAGATCCTTATAAACATTCACCCATAATCTTTGTTGTTCCTAACAAAAAATATTTGAAAAAATAATTAAATTAAATATGACTCTTATTATTAATATACTATTTATTTCTTTGATGTACGAAACTAAAATTTTGTTTGGCAAAAATTATTTTCTCAAATTTACTACCATATCAAAACGAGGTTTCTCTCACTGGAGAAGTAACAGTTTACGCAAATAAAATGGTAATAATGGTTTCTTTTGATTTTTAATATTACAATGGTGTTGTAAATACAGAATAGAAAACAATACCAGACAGACCAACATTTTAATCATTTCTATCTTTCATGATATTATTAATAACATAACAATTCATATTGCATTTTTTGGGTTTGCGAGAGATTAATGTAGAATAATTGTATGTATACCATAAAACCAAAGCTGTTTTTCTACAAATTAGGAGATGACCTTAAATTTAAGTTTTTAATATAACTTGTTTCTAAATAAGAATGTAATGTTATTGTCACTTGATTTTTGGCTGGAGTGTTTTGGGAATGTTGCTCCTTGCAGATTGGATCCTTCCTTTTAACAATAGAATTCCTCTCATGTCCAGGATACAAAGTCTAGCAGAATGTTGCTCCTTGCAGATTGGATCCTTCCTTTTAACAATAGAATTCCTCTCATGTCCAGGATACAAAGTCTAGCAGAATGTTGCTCCTTGCAGATTGGATCCTTCCTTTTAACAATAGAATTCCTCTCATGTCCAGGATACAAAGTCTAGCAGAATGTTGCTCCTTGCAGATTGGATCCTTCCTTTTAACAATAGAATTCCTCTCATGTCCAGGATACAAAGTCTAGCAGAATGTTGCTCCTTGCAGATTGGATCCTTCCTTTTAACAATAGAATTCCTCTCATGTCCAGGATACAAAGTCTAGCAGAATGTTGCTCCTTGCAGATTGGATCCTTCCTTTTAACAATAGAATTCCCCTCATGTCCAGGATACAAAGTCTAGCAGAATGTTGCTCCTTGCAGATTGGATCCTTCCTTTTAACAATAGAATTCCTCTCATGTCCAGGATACAAAGTCTAGCAGAATGTTGCTCCTTGCAGATTGGATCCTTCCTTTTAACAATAGAATTCCTCTCATGTCCAGGATACAAAGTCTAGGCAGAATGTTGCTCCTTGCAGATTGGATCCTTCCTTTTAACAATAGAATTCTTCTCATGTCCAGGATACAAAGTCTAGCAGAATGTTGCTCCTTGCAGATTGGATCCTTCCTTTTAACAATAGAATTCCTCTCATGTCCAGGATACAAAGTCTAGCAGAATGTTGCTCCTTGCAGATTGGATCCTTCCTTTTAACAATAGAATTCCTCTCATGTCCAGGATACAAAGTCTAGCAGAATGTTGCTCCTCGCAGATTGGATCCTTCCTTTTAACAATAGAATTCCCCTCATGTCCAGGATACAAAGTCTAGCAGAATGTTGCTCCTTGCAGATTGGATCCTTCCTTTTAACAATAGAATTCCTCTCATGTCCAGGATACAAAGTCTAGCAGAATGTTGCTCCTTGCAGATTGGATCCTTCCTTTTAACAATAGAATTCCTCTCATGTCCAGGATACAAAGTCTAGCAGAATGTTGCTCCTTGCAGATTGGATCCTTCCTTTTAACAATAGAATTCCTCTCATGTCCAGGATACAAAGTCTAGCAGAATGTTGCTCCTTGCAGATTGGATCCTTCCTTTTAACAATAGAATTCCTCTCATGTCAAGGATACAAAGTCTAGCAAAATGTTGGTCCTTGCAGATTGGATCCTTCCTTTCAACAATAGAACTCCTCTTGTCCAGGATACAAAGTCCAGCAGAATGTTGCTCCCCTAGTCCCATTTACTAAGGACATCAAGCCATCAACTGAAAGTCACCCACCACATGGCAGATGCCTTTGTCATGACAAAATATTATAAAGACTATAATACTCATGAAATAAACAAAGTATACCATGTGAAAGAGCTATTGTTTCCACTGCAGGCTAAACTAAATGCTATTAAGTATTGATGATGAAACTCAGCCAGGATTCGATCAGCTTAATGCCGCGTACTTTTAAGTTGTACACTTTGAAGCATAGGGCAAGGCGAGCCCTGCCCGAAGAATCGCTTATCGCAAGCGCAGCGACATACAACTTTTAAAATTAAATGACTTCCTCAATGGATTAATGTTGCCAGTATAAAGGCCGACAAAAATTATCGACTTATGCCGTTACGCACAATGTTACATTACCACCAAAATAATGTGTTTTCTTATCTAACAGATGCGTGTACCAGGTTGTCCACTTATTGTGCCCGTGGCAGAGGGAGGAGGTGGAGGAGCACGAGTAACATTGCCAGGGCCTGTACCACTACACCAGCCTGCAGCATTAACATTACATCACCCAACTGCCACACTTGACCAGATAGAAGTCAATGTTGAGGGTAAGTCTAACCTACTTATACTACATAAGAGTTTAGAGTTCCACAACTCTGTATTAATATCAGTATATTTACTAGTTTAAATTTAATCTTGTTACACACATATACAGATTTTTAAGCTTAGCATACTCACTAAAAGAAAAGGTCTAGTTCTTATAAAATATAAATTGTTTTATAACTAAATCATCACACCAAGATACCTTGAAATAAATTTTGAATAATATATAAATTCTAATTAAATGATATTGGAAAAATTATTGACACTACTTACGTTGCTTGTTTGTGTACTACTTGTAGTTGTTGTAGACTTGTAGTTCATGTCATCCTATAATTTCTTATTATTTCATGTATGTAAAACAAGCATTGTTTTTTAAAAATTAAAAAGGTTAAGTATTTAATTAAGTACAAAGCTTTGCTGGGTAGAAATGAGTTTAATGTCTCTGTAATTAAATATATTAACGGCTCTTCAATTTCAAATATTTGCCAATGTTGATTTATTATAGTATTTTCACCAAACAAATAAATATAAACAGATCATTTCAAGAACAATTAGAAACCAACTTTGTAACCTCTTTTAACATTACTACTAGGAATATATTGTTTCTTTACAGGGTGGTATAAATGAGAAGGGGTACATACAATTTGAATTGAATTAGATAAAAGAAATGATCAAATTGTTTATAAATGGGGTATTTGATCATGAAAAAATTAAAACAAGTTTTAGTGATAAATAATTTCACTTTAACTCGCTTTTGCTATTCTAACAACACCCGCCCCATTTAACTTCTTTATTGAAACAGAAACAGAAACAGAAACAGAAACTTTTTTATTCAATATAGATTATAAATAATACTTATTGAAAGTCATTCTTTTGTTTGATTACCACTGGTTCGGAAAAAACCTCTGTCCTGGGAAGAACCAGCAAGAAACCCAGCGGGACTTTTTTTTTTTTTTAAATAACAGCTTACAATCATGATGTTACACAAATTAACAACACAACAAATTAGAAATAGCTTGGTAGCGATCACCTCATTTCCAGGGGTTATTATCATCCATAAATTCCTTAATATTATAATAACCCTTTTTATACAAACTTAGTTTAATAAAGTTTTTGAACTTTGAACAGGCCAAACTTTGTATATTTTCTGGAATTTTGTTGTAAAAGCGTATACATCGCCCCAAGAATGAATTACTGACTCGATGGAGTCGAGTAACTGGTACTACTAGCTTGTGTCTGTTCCTAGTATTTACAGAATGAATATCACTTATTTTTATAAAACTACTTTTATTTTTGTGTACGTACATTAAATTTTCATAAATGTATTGAGAGGCCAAAGTTAATATATTAATTTCCTTAAATTTTTGTCGCAGCGACTCTTTAGGCTTTAAATCATAAATTGCTCTTATGGCCCTCTTCTGCAAAACAAATATAATTTCTGTGTCAGCTGCGTGTCCCCATAGCAAAATACCATACGACATTATGCTATGGAAGTAGCTGAAGTAAACTAGTCTAGCTGTTTCAACACTGGTTAGACTTCTAATCTTTTTTACAGCATATGCTGCAGAACTAAGTCTGCTTGCTAGTTTTGATATATGGGGGCTCCATTGAAGCTTCGCGTCTAGTGTGATTCCAAGAAAAATGGTGGTATCTACAAGACTCAGTTTCTCCCCATTTAAAATTACATTAGTATTTAATTGTTTGACATTTGGAGTCACGAATTTCATACATTTTGTTTTAGTGCCATTTAAATGCAAATTATTAACATCGAACCAATTTACTAATTTAGATATAGCATTATTTACTTCGTCATATTTTAGTAACTGTCGACTTAATTTGAAAATTAAAGAAGTGTCATCTGCAAATAATACTATATCATGGTTATCCCCTACTATGTAAGGTAAGTCATTAATGTATACAAGAAACAGAAAGGGGCCGAGAATTGAGCCTTGAGGCACGCCCATTTGTACCATCGATCCGGAAGAGCTCATATTGTTAATGACAACTTTTTGCGTTCTCTTACTTAAATATGAAATAATTAATTTAAGGGCATCACTTCTTACACCGTAGTGTTGAAGTTTCCTGATTAATGTTTCATGGTGAACACAATCGAAGGCCTTGGATAGGTCACAAAATATACCCAAAGCATCCTGTGAATTCTCCCATGCATTAAAAATATATTTAATCAGCTCAACACCGGCATCAGTTGTCGAGCGACCCCTTGTGAAACCAAATTGATTTTTATGAAGTAAATTATTTATATTAAAAAAATTTAACATTTGATCAAGAACAATTTTTTCAAAAATCTTACTAAGTGTTGGTAGTACAGAAATAGGTCTAAAATTGGCGGGGTCTAATGTACTACCAGATTTAAATAAAGGTATTACTTTACTATGCTTCATTAAATCAGGAAACACACCAGATTCGATACTAGTATTAAAAATAATAGCTAAATGAGGCGCGATTGTATCTATTATAGACGCAATAACTTTAACGGAAATCCCCCACAGATCCGCAGTTTTCTTAACATCAATAGTTTTAAAATATTTTACAATATCTTTTGATGTCACTTTATGAAATGTAAAATTCTTTGTACACACATTTACATTATGTTTAAGTAATGATTCGGCGACGGCAGGAGAAGAATTTAGTGACTTAGTGGTCAAGATCGGAATATCAGTAAAATATTTCTCAAAAACCATTGCTACGTCCTGATCTGATACAGTTAATTTGTTGTTAACACTTAACTGGTAATTTGAATTGCGAGAGTTGATCTTACCAGTTTCGCTATTAATTATACTCCATGTCATTTTAATTTTATTGGAAGCCGTCTTAATTTTGTTGCTCAAATGCAAAGACTTGGCTATGGAGCACACTCTTTTAAATATTTTTGAATATTTTTTTACATATTCCCTAAATTCGACGCTATGATTATATGACCTTTCATGGTAAAGATCATATAACCTATGCCTGCTCTTATGGACTCCTACTGTCGCCCATTCATTGAATGACTTCCGACTGTTCAAGGAGAATGTTTTAGAAGTAAAAGTATTATTAAATTCATTGCAAATAAGCTTAAATAATGTTCCATACAAAAAATTGGATCATTTTGGTATGAAAGTGATGGAAGTTTTTTCACTATGTTACTTCTAAATTTCTCCAAGCGACGTGCATTTACTGGAACAGACACAACTTTCTCATCTACTTGCTTTTTGTGAACATAAGGTAACGAAACTACTTGTCCACAGTGATCAGAACTTAATTTTTGAATTATACATTTATGCAACGGCTTCACATTTGTAAAAATGTTATCTATACATGTTGCACTAGATTGAGAAATACGCGTTGGCTCTATAAATAAATTAAAAAGACCATATGATTTAAACAATGATCTAAATTTAATATTGATGGAGGAAGCTTCTAGGAGATTGATATTAAAATCTCCACATATTACAACAGATTTATTCTGTTTATTAAGCTTAGCAAAAACTTCCTCCATAATGTTTTCAAAAGTATCATATGTACAACATGGGGGTCTGTAGACGCTCACAACAATGAGGTGCTCAAACTCAACACATGCCATTTCTACAGTTCGCTCAACAGAGAGGCTCACAATGTCTTTACGTTCTTTACATGATAATAATTTACTAGCTAATATTAAGGAGCCACCTCTTAAAACCGTATCTCTATTGAAAGAACTGACCACCTGGTGATTACTGAAGTTAAACATTAAATTATAAGATTTTAACCAATGTTCAGTAATACATAAGATATGAATATTGTTGCTATTTAAGAACAACTCAATTTCTAGCTCTTTGCCTATCATGCCTTGTATATTTTGATGCACCAGGTGTAAACAATTTTCATTATCTTTCTGTGGAGTCATACAATTAAAGATTTGTAAGCCACATTCTAAATTATTTAAGTTATTATAACTGCTAGAGATTACCTCTATTGTCTCATTTTCTAATTTAAATTACTTGGAACTGATTCCAAATTGCATGTTAAGTCATTACACTGCTCAAAAGAAGCAGATGTCTGTGTAGCCAAGTCCTTGGCTGAGTTAATATATAAATAATAAGATAGCACATTTGCTATCTGTCTTAAATTATATTTTGATAGGTAATACCTATCTCTAGTCAAAAATTTCTTAATTAAATTATTTATATCTATTAAATTAATTCTATCATTATAATTGTAACAATTAAATGTCAAGTTTAAATTATTATTACATGAAAAGTTATTCATTAATAAATTTAAATCATATCTTATTTTATTTTCCTGCGGCCAACCCTGTATGTAAGGCAATGTAAACAAGATAATTTTATGTACATTTAAAGTATTTAGATTATCAATATATTTTAATAATTGATTTTTGTTTACATTGCCTCTTCTCCCAACAAGAATAATTAATGTGCTATTAGGACAAAATTTACTAGCTAAAACTTTATTCATTATATGACTAAAGGATGCTCCAGGCATGCAATAATTAGTGATCATATGTCCTTTTAAACAGTTATTTAACATCATGCCCAAATTTTTGCCTATGTCATCACAATACATAATAACTTTATTTTTTTTAATATTTACATTACTTTTTAAGTTTATATCCTTTGTCATAGCACTGTCATAGAGTGTAGATGAAAATAATGAGGTCTTACTGTTAACTTTGTTATTTACACATATTGTCCCCGATGAACCTGGTATGGAGCGCTGATACTCACTCTGATTTTTTATTAAGGAGTCAAAGCGCTCCTCATTATATTTACATGATTTTACCAGATCATTCATGGCCAATATGTGTTCTTTTATCTCATCTTGAGCCGATGCATATTTATTTGATACAATTTCTAGAGAGCTTTTAAGTGATAAAATTGTTGAATGTAGACACTCTATATCAGTCTCATAACAGTGATTCATATTTTCCACCTCAATTGAATATATTTTAAGTTTATTAATTAGTTCTTGCTTTTCTTTGCATACATTTATATAATTTTTAACATTAATTTTAGTTTTAATTAATTTTTGTAGTTTTCTAATATATTTATTAATTTTTATATATTTCTTTAATTTTCTTCTACTGCAGGTAGTTCTTGCTGCTGTTCTTGACATGACATAATCATCACCAGTCAAATCGATTGTTGTGGAGGGTTGCAATGCTTTAGATTTAGTAGATTCACACTCTATGAGCTCGTTGAACAGACTTTGAGTTTGGGACGCTTTCATGTTATCTATGTAATGTTTTAATAAAACAATCTGCTCATTAGCCTCACTTAACTGTAACTGCAATGAAGCAATTAATTTGAGGGATTCCTCATATTCCTTGCTGCATTGGTCAAACTCATCGACTGTTCTCTGAAGTTGATCCCTTTATTTTTCCTTTATTTTCCTTTAGATCCTTTTATTTTGTTATTATTTATCTTAATGCACGAAAAATATATCACGCTCAATTTAGTAATATTTAATTATGTATATGTTCTTAATATTTTAATCATCACTAACCTAGGGTAAGGAATGATGACAAATGCTGAAAGTCAATAAAATATAAAATAATGCACACATTTTAAGAAAGTGTGTAGTGCATTCCATTTTTATTTTTATTCAAATTAATAGCATTGATGTAACTTGTCAATATTGTTTCTTGGTTATAAAGCTCATCCGCTTCGCCTTAACTTCTAACACACAGAACTTTAAAAAAAATCAGATAGTAGGGAAATAAATTTTTGGGGTAGTAGATTAAAACGGTAGAGATAACTCGGTGAGGAGGAAGGAAATATAAATTATCATCGAGATAGATAGAGTGGTAGGAAAAGAGGTTAGGGCGTGGCGGAGAGCTGAGCGTGATGCGGGGGCGTAGGTCCAAATGGAGCATCAGTGCCGGCGGCCGTGGCGGCAGCGGGTCCAGCCGCTTTCCGTGCAGAGTTCGTTCCACGCGCCGTGGGCGAGCATCGCCTTAATGTACTTGTTGACTCCGTGCCAATTCCTGCCAGTCCGTTTCATTTAAAGGTGTGTTTTATGTCGTCTATATTATTTTAGATCATGCAATTAAAAAAAAATAGGCATATAATTTACTCCTTTGTTAAAAAAGAAAAATAAAAATATTAAGTGAATTTCAGTGTTAAAATAAGTAAATGATATTTGGAACATAGTCAATATTCATTAGCAACTTCTTAAACTTATTGGTTTTAAAAATTGTGAGCATTATCTATGTTTTTTCAGGAAATGTTTAGGTGTTAGGAAAGACTACATAATTTAAAAAAAACGAATTGGGGTTAAATACTTTAAAAATATAAATAAATAAATTAGATACATAGATAAAATGAATATACATAACTTACGTCTATCGCTTAATACGAGTATGATTATACAGGTGTATGACGTCACTGCAATCAGAGTCAAAGATGTCGCACATGGAACAGTTGGAAAACCGGTGACATTTTTGGGTAAGCGTGTTTTAAATTAATTATATTAGTTTTGCATAGTCATAAAGGTAGTTTTTAAAGAGTGCCTTTTACCACTACGTACATTTTGTAGTCCTCCAGACATTCCTCAAAGTTACAAACGGATTTCGATTTGAAAAACTTATTTGCTGCGCCGAAAACTGCACCTTACGACTGCAATTAGCTTCATTTTCGCAGCGGTTTTGCAAAAGCTGCAGTTGTACGAAACTACGGTAAAAATGCAACTTTTTTATTTGATTTTAATGACGTTCGTAATAAAAAAAAAACTAAAGAAGTTTTATTTTAAAATCTTCCTGGATATTTAAAAGTTCTAGGTGTTAAACTATTAACTTACAAGCTATTAAATATACTAAGTGTGGTGCCAGCGTTAGAAAAACTGAAAAAGGAGATGGGTAGTAGCATCTTCTTATTAAAAAAACTGCCGTTGCCAACCTCCCTGCCGAGCGTGGTGCCTATGCCAAATATCGGGGTGCGAGGCAACGGATAGGTTGTGAGGCATGTGGTGTGGTGTTGGCGCAGTGGAGACGATGGCGGCGGGGCCGGGCAACCTGGAGGTGACGGTGAACGGCGGGCGCGTGCCCACGGCGGCGGCGGCGCAGGGCGCGCACACGTACGCGATCAGCTTCACGCCGCGCGACCCGCGCCCGCACACCGTCGAGCTGCGCTTCAATGGCGACCACGTGCCCGGTACCTTACCTTGTCTCACATTCACTTATACATATATATTTTTTCTATAATTTTCAATTTAATGCACAAAGTAGTATAGAATAGAATAGAATCATTTTTATTCAATACTAGCGATACGCCTCGGCTTCGCACGGGTGATTTCTGGATCTCGACAACAGCGCCACCTACTGGGTTCGATTGTGAATCGTTTAGTTTATCATCCAGGCTTGAGTGAGTCTCAAACACACACAAAGAATTTCATCAAAATTGGTCCAGCCATTTTCGAGACTAACGAAGAGCAACTGATTTTTATATATAGAAATTGGTTATATGTAATTCTTATTCATTGAGTCATTTTTAACTTTTACCACTGGTTCGGAAAGAAACCTCTGTTCTGGGAAAAATCAGCAAGAAACCCACCGGTACTTTTTTTAACTTATAAAATGGTTATGTTCATTTAGAAACAGCATGGTAGCGATCACCTCATTCCCAGGGGTTATTATCAAAATATATATGGCGGACTTAATGCCATAGAGCATGCCAGGGTTTTTATTCTTCTCGTATCCTGACCTAGCTTCGATTTTATCGCACTAGCGTTTACATCGGGAACGTGTAGGTTAGGATGAGATAGAATTCCATAAATATTGTAGAAAATTTCCAACCCAGCAATGTAATGCATGGGTTTCTCATTCTTCTAGCCCTTCCGACTTAGGGAAAGGCTAGAAATGTCGTCATCATGATAAGGATTATGTCGTCGTCATCGTCATGATAATGATTATAATGATGATACCCAACGCAGGTAGCCCATTCGTGTGCCACATTTCGGCACCGGCGCGCGTCATCGGTGCGGGATCAGGCGAGTCGCCCGACAAGGTTTCTGTGGGCGAAGCGTACACCTTCAGTGTCGACTCGCCCGCTTCACCACACGTCGAGGTCTTGGGACCGGCCAGGAGGCCCGTCCCCGTACAGGTGATATTTTTACTTTTGCTGTTAGAAAAATAAAAGTCTCTTTAAATTGACTAGAAAGTTTTAAGTATTGTATAATGAATTATCACAAATATGCCCCTGATTATTTACACCCACAAAGCACTTAATATTTCTTTCCTTTGTAGATTAACTTATTTAACCAAGACAAGAAAAAATCCGTTTGTGTTCCCAAGCTAAGTAAGCTTAACCAAACTAATGTAACTATAATAGCTCTGAAATTGCACGGATTCTATATTATTTTATAACTAGCTGTTCCCGCGACTTCGCCCGCGTGGATTTTATTACGATTGGATTTCATGTGTTTGAATTTTTTTACGCGGATCCCTATTTTTTTTTTCTAAAATAAAAGTACCCTAAGTTACTCATTATAACATCAGCTCTCTGCCGATCAGTGAAAATCCCGTCAAAATCGCTCTAGCCGTTTCGGAGATTAGCCGGAACAAATAAACAGACAGACAAAAATTTTAAAAATAGTTTTTTTTAATTAGTATCGTATATTTACTTACATATGAATTTAGTAAAAAGTTGTTGTTTTGTGTTATTTTGACATTACAAACAGACACTTCAATTTTATATAGACTACCATACATTTTTACTTTCAATTCAGACTCATTTAGTTAATCTATAAAAATAAATAAAATTGAAGTGTCTGTTTGTAATGTCAAAATTAGAGTTTTTTACTAAATGCATATGAAAGTAAATACGGTACCTATAACTAAAATACAATTTTTAAAATTTTTGTCTGTCTGTTTGTTTGTTCCGGGTAATCTCCGAAACAGCTGGACCGATTTTGACGGGACTTTCAATGGCCGATAACTGATTTCATAAGGAGTAACTTAGGCTACTTTCATTTTAGAAAAATAATTAGGGTTCCGCGCAAAAACATAAAAACCCTAACACGCGAACGAAGTCGCGGGGAACAGCTGGTTGTATCATAAATGTATCTCTTTGTTTTTCAAATCCATTATGTTCAGGTATCTGCTGAAGAGACTGTGGGAGAGAACGAAGCTAGTAAAAGATACAACATCTCATTTGTGCCAGTTGACGTAGGAGACCACAGTATTGAGGTATGTTAATTAATGCACTGATAAATTCAATTAATATTATTTATTC